GGAGATTCTTGCCTTGCCCTGAGCCTACATGTCTATTTACAACAAGAGTATACAGCAATACTGTACAAAATATAGCCTTAAAATGTCACTATACTAAATAATTACAGATAGTTAATACTACTTGAAGGCAGTCACATGTTTATTTGGCCCTTTATCAATATTGCTAATGTAATTGAGCTTTTTGTAAAACTATCCCCATATAACACATTAAATGTACATTGATTTTTGCAGCTTACAATTTCACCATGCAGCATTTATTAGGATACATTTTTCAGAAAAGTACACATAGAGTTAATATGAAGTTCATTAAAAGTCACTAACTATATATATTACTTGAATATGTACTGTGCTGCAAATAATGTGATGCATTGCTTCCAGGGTCCTTGAAACTCATAGATGAATAGGCAAGGTGAGATACAAAGGTAAATTAAAAAGAAAATACATCGAAAAATGGAAACACATTGACAAATTGCTTGTGTATTAACCAGTATGTACACACTGTAGTGGGCAATGCCATTTATGCTCTTTGATAATTAACGCTCCTTGGACCAGTTTCAACCATGGTCAACTCTGTAGGAAGATACTAGAACCTACTCATGAATGTACATAAACAGCCTGCATACATGCTGGTGATAAGACACAATAAGAACAGACATAGCAGAATAAAGTTCATACTTATACAAAGTTTGAGTTACTCCTGGTGTTGTTTTGCTGTTGAATAATTGACATACGATAGTAATTGATGGGAAAAAGAGCAAAATGCAGAGAACAGTACTGTAATTTCTTCAAACAAATGATGCAGAACGACTGTAACAGATTGCCATAGTACATCACACTCATTATCCTCCACCAGCTCTGACCACAGAGGAGTACATCTGTTATGTGTGATTGTTTTTACAAGAGCAGAGGGGGGCACAAAAAAAGACTACTGAAATTTAGCATCAAAGTACCAAAGCATCAGGAGATAGTGGAAATTAAGTAGGATGCCTCCTGTTAATTACTCTGCATTTCCTAACTTGTTCTGTGTACCAGTGATAAAAAAGGGGAATGTCGAGATTAATTTACCTAATTAGATTAAGCATGTTCAGTAATTTAATACATTATATTCTTTGAAGTGTACCAGGAAATGAAAGATATGGTAAACCTAGGCAAACCAGCCACAACTGGCTTTTTACATTGCATTGTTTAACTTGATTATATGAGTGGTAAATTAACTAAGTGATGTGCAATTCCATTTTTGCAAGTTCTCAAACAAAACTGGAATGTTAGTTTTGAACAGTATGCATATAACAAATGACAAGCCTGTAAAGGCTGGTTTGGATAAAGCTAGAGATACTGGGGGGGGATTTATCAAAAGAGAAGAAGCTGATTCGTTGCCATGAACAGCTGCTCCAGATTTTGTCTGGTCCAGTTTTGATAAATTCCCTTCACTGTATATAACATAAATTTTATGTTACTACTTAAGCTGTGCATGGGGCATTTTTTAGTGCTTTCTCACGCAACACCTCATTTTACATGGATGGGTGGCTACAACTTAATAGGTGCTTCTCAGTGTCCTGACTTATTTAGTGCGTATATCAAGACACAAATAATATGCAGTTAATCTCTGCAATACATTCACCTTTTCCCTATGTTTTATCCCTTCAAACATCCTTTAAGTTCCAGAAAATACCTGTTGATTTGCCAGAAATGCACTCCACTCTTAAGCCCTATTGTGAGCTGACAACACACAGCATTTTTGTGGTCTGAGTGTTGTCAGTCCTGCGCATTGTCTTTTGCTAAACTGCTAAACCACATTTAGGTCTCTACAACATAAAGACTAAACATTCTGCAGTCCATGATAAGAACTAAGGGAGCTAAATAGAATCATTAAAATAACACAGGGAGTGTGCAGAGGACACAGGTCAGCTCTGAATTTCTAACAACATTTTTGTTTATGCATTTATCAAAAAGAAAAAACACCTGCTTCCAGATCCTTTGGCTCTCTTCAGGCTGCCAGAGCCCTTCAGTTCAGTTGAACCGAAGGGCTGCCTATTCACAAGTCACCAAGACCCGAAGGGCTGGCTATTCAGAAGTCACTGCTAGCTCCACCCAAGTGTTTTTTTTTCTCATTTGACTATTTGTTTAAATATTTTACATATTTTTGTAACTTTTTTTCCCTTTCTTTTCACTTATTTTCTATTCTGCTTGGTACCACAAAGGTACTCTGCTATTCACTCACTGCCGTTCTGCCCCTATGAGAATAGGGGTGAACGGCAGCGAGTGAGCTGCCGGAGCTTCAGCTCAGCCGATCCAGATGTTGGATCGGATGAGTCGAAGTCCTTCTGCACTTTGGCTCAGCCGAACATACAGAGCATGTTTTGGCTAACCGAAGGCATCCAATGTTCTGCTGAAATCAGCCCTACAAGACTGAAGTGAATAGCCGAACAGCGTTCGGCTCACTTCACTTCGGCTGGGTTATTCACTCAGCTACCTTCGGCAGCTTTGCAAATAGCCCCCAAAGTAGTAGTACAATACAAACTGAGCATGAAAACAAATTGCAGGTAATTTTAAAAATTAATGGCTAGTTACTGTATGTGTGCAATGACAGAAGGTATTGAGCTGTCACAGGTCCATGGACTGGTGGCTCAAAAGGAAAACTTTACAGTGCCTGATATTTTCTGATGTTGCTGGCTTTTTAAAGTGGCAAGAGTGAGCCCACAATTCTGAGATTACATACCTGTCCCTGAGAATAGTCCAAAGCTCTCCACCTAAACAGGCTTCCATCAGCATATACAGATACTTGCTGTCCTTAAATGTTCTATATAACCTATAAACAGGATCAAAATATTAACTATGTGTGAAAACGTGCACACCACAAAATATAATATATTGAAAGCTTAACTGTTGTTCTGGGTAGCATTTGGTGTGTAGAACTAACTACTGTTGATTACAGAGTTGAATCCTCTGCATTACTACATGTAGGGATCAGAAGCACAACAGGTGGTTTACGGCAGATTAAAAGACAGACTGGGGATTATTTAAAGTGCAAATTCAGCCAAAATATTTTCTTGTTTCCAATGTTAGAACCTGTGTTTGGCTTTAATGGTATCTGTGGTCCATTGGCATGAATTCCCCTCACTTATTGTCCTCAGGAAAACATTGCTAATATGCAAGAATTGGGGACTAATCTTTAGTGAGGACACAAACAGTAATCAAAAACTGACAAAGGCTATACCTTTACTCCCTGTATCTGTAAAAAAGAAAATAAAATGTTTTAGCAAGACTGTAATGAATTGGGGATTTTTTCCTAATATGCCTTGCTATTTTTGTAAAATTTCTAACAGATATCTGCCCTAATTCAGCAGATTAAATGGGATTTACACATTATATTTGTTACCACTGGCATTACTACAATATTCTTTATCCACATTTTGTTTATAAATGAACCCATCTTCTGGTTTATTATAAGTTCTATTCATACTAACCTTACAATGAAGTCAGAGTGAGCGCTTTGCATGATCTGCTTCTCTGACCGAATGTGCTCCTGTTGCCTTGTATCCACTATATGTCTCTTTTTAAGGATTTTCATTGCAAATGTTTTTGATTCTTCACTTTTAAGCTGCACCTGAGAGGTAGAAAAAGATGCAATTACAATGTTCTAAATTATATCAATATTTTTTTAGCTTTTTTAGTTTTGATCAGTGTTAGTCAGTGCCCAGGGCAAACCAAGTAGTGTGCTCCCATACCCAGTGGACCGTTAGACACGCTTTCTTTGTTTTAGGAAGGGTGAGTGTAATTCGCTATTGCTAGCTAATAGAATAAATAATTATTTTAGACTACCAACCACCTGGACTATGATCTGTCATATGACTAAGGGGCGCCAAATTCTCTCAATATATATTCCTTGAAAGAGACATTCAGGAACAACATTATAGGAGGACATGCTCTGCAAACCTGTGACACTGTGCCATTTCTAGGAAATGAAAGAGTGATTAATGTGTAACTAGATGCCATGACTTATCACAAGTTACAATTACTTTCATTACTACATATCAACAAAAAGAGAACATAGCAAAATAAAGCAAAATACTGCAGCATATGACACATCTCTTCTGGTAATCACAGACAGACAGACACAATTTTTGCCACCTTCAGCACAGAGATAAGTACAATAAAAAATGCATGCACAATGATTTGGAAAAAAGTGCTCACACCTGTGATTATTTGGTGAAAAAGTACATTTTGGATATTAGACCGTTGAAAGCAGAACTTCAGGCAAAACTTTCTCTTTTTAGTTTTAGAGTGGGGAAAGATTAAACCCTTTGTATTGCCCAGGTTTATATTGCCGTATTGTCCATTGTGGTGATGTTCCCTCACTTAAGTGAGTCGGCAGGACAGCACAGGAATTGAGCAGGATGTAAAAGTTGAGCAATCTGTCAGGACAAGATCGTCCAGTGCCAAGATACCAAACTGTGGCCCCTGTGATGTGCATACCCCCACTCTTCTTATAAAACAAGGATCCAACTTCCAGCTGCCACAGCATTTGTCTCAGCATCACTTGCAGCTCAAGGTCTGGCACTCTGGTTTCACTTGGTCCTGGAAGGGCACAGTCATGTAGTGGGACCTTCCTGCTGCATGTTCTCTGCCTTTCCGTGCACTGATTATTAATAAAACTGGACTGGAATGCAGTGCATGGAGCCAGGGCCACCATTAGAAATCATGAGGCCCCCAGACCCCCTGCTAACCCGATGGGGGTTCGGGCCAGGGCCCAGTGTGGGAGTATTGCCTCCAACCCCCATTCCCCAAGGTGACAGATTCTATGGTATACTTGATTTAAAGAGGAAGGGTTAACAACATGAGCATATGTATAATAAGCACTGGGATTAAATATAAATAAATTAAGCTGCACTCACAGCAAATAGACACTAAGGAGTACATAATAAATATATACGATCATGAAGAAGCAAACAATAAATAAACACTGCTCTAAATTGATGACAGATCAAAGCTCATGTGCTATGGGTTACTGCATATCACTACTGAATGTTTCAAAGCTTTATTAAAAAATCCAGAATGAAAGATAGTCTGCACCATCATAAACCTTGATCTTGTAAGCAGAATTCAGGTAAATATGATGCATTAAGCTCACACATTAAGCTCCCAGTATAGGGTGACCTGATCCTGCTCAAATAACCTTAAGCAATCATTACTGAAGTTGAGTGTCATCTGATTCAAGGGTAACCTTTGAAATTAAAAACCAATCAGCCTTTTGGATCAATATCATGTTTAAATATTTTCTTAGAATGCAGTCCCAAATCTCTCGATGTTAATCTTTTCTTTAGAGGACAGTCACGCATGTACAGTATCAGCCATGTAAAGAATGCCGCCCACATGCGCATATGCAGGTTATTCACCCACCATGTTTTACAAGCATAAGGCAGAAATATAAAGTTTATAACAAATGTAACAACAATAGGAATGAAACCACCTGCTCCATATAGCCATTTGTTTGTCTTGTATGAATGTATTTTTGGGATAGTCAGTGCTGAATTCTTATGTAGTTGTCCTCATTTTAAAATTGGAAAGGGTTCCTTTTTGTTTACATGCAAGGGAATAACCCCAGCTAAGACTTTCATGATGGAATATTAAGCAAGTGTTATTCGATGCCGAGGACATCCCTAGGGACATAGTTTTAAAAATAGAGTGTCTATTTTAAGATTTCCTTCTTCACATCTCCCACATGGTGCTGCCTGGGACAGGATGTGTTTCACCCAGAGACGTTATACCCAGCAGTAATTCAGTCATAGACTAGCTAAAAAGTATATTGATATGGCCACATCAGCAACACTGCAGACAGACATTTTGTGGGATGAACCAATAGTTATTGAACAATCATCATTTTGCACATGTATTCTCCATTCTCATACCTGCTGGCCAATTATGATGTAACCAGAGAAATATGTGCATCTCAAAGGATGTTATTTTTGTATATGGTTTTATATGGTGTCTGCTGTTTACCTTTAAAAAAAAACAGGGAATTGTGAACTGGTATGACTAATTATCACCTTACAATTCTCTAAAGATAGCAAGTGAAAAGAAAAAAAAGGTGATAATATATTCTCAAATATGTTTGATTTGCTTGGGTTTATTAAATGAATTATGGTGTGTTAAAACCAGGGGGTTTTAAAGAGAATTTGAGCTTTTCCCATGAAGGGCAGTGTAATAAATTCATATAATAGGCAGCCC